AAAAAAAAAAAAAAGGACAAAACAAATTTGCCAGGGCAAACCATGCAGGCATGAAGAAGAGTGTGACGTGGGGAGGATTCCAGTGCACATTTGTATGTCTCACACCTCCCCACATGTGCACACACGGCAGCACACCTAGCTTCATGGGGAGGAAGTGAAGACGAAATCAGACTGTGAATGGTGGGACTGAAAATGGAAGTGTGGTTTTATTTTCTACATTTAAAAAATACTGGAATTATTTTTATGAGGAATATTTGGGGGGGCGGCAGGAATTTAGCTCCAGGGTTCCGCTGCTGCCCACCTCACAAGCTCAAGGTCCCAAGTCCGATCCCCAGTACCAAAAAAAAAAAAAAAAAAAAAAAAAAAAAAAAAAAAAGAAATAGCCTGGGTCGAGAGGTCAGAAAGGAATAGTTTGGAGATAATTCGGTGATACTTGGTGAACTTCCACGCTAATATTAAAGGTGAGCCCTAACCCTCATCTTGTGGTATTTTTCTCTAAACACTCCCAGAAGACAATTTTGCAATAGGCTTAGGAATGTTTGTGTATTTTGACCCCAGAATTCATTGTAAGGAGTCTCTTCTTTGTAAATAATTTCAAATCATAAGAGATTTATGCAAAAAGTATTTGAGAGAATTATTTATCAGAGCAAAAGTGAGAACAGTTTACACTTGTAACCTAAATAAACGTGTGTGGTACGCCCGCACAAACAGAAGTTAGGGTGAGTCCATGAGCTCACGAGTATGCTGTAATCAAAGCGGTGAGAACGGTGCATGCAGTAAGGTCACGGCTGTAAGAATACACAACAGTGCTGGCCGCGGGGGCTCACACCAGTGATCCCAGCACTCTGGAGGCAGAGGCAAGGGGGATCGCCATGAATTTGAGGCCAGCCTGGGCTATATAATGAGTTCAGGGCCAGCCTGAACTACACAGAGAGACCCTGTCTCAGAAAACAAAACAAAATGCACAAAAGCAAGACTAAAAGCATGTTACAGATGAGACAGTGCCCAAATGTCAATAGCAGTCATGTTTCTGTGCAAGACTTTATTTTTATCGTTACTGACTTTTCTGTACAGTTTTCCTATAATGATCAGATTTAATTTTATAACACAAATAACACATTATTTTTTAGACTGTTGGTACAGCCCACCAACATAATAATAATACAGGGTATGTCAGATGACTTGGTGAAGGAAAAAAGTCAACTAACGAAGGAGCTTTAAAAAACTTCAGATGGCTTTCATGGACAGCAGGTAGGGTTAGACGCCACTGGTCATGTGGAAGAAACTGAAGTGGGAAAATTCAGGGAAAGTCACATTTATATGTAAACAGGATGACACTGCTCCCCAGATGGCACAGACTGAGTGTCTGTGTTTCTGGATTTGGGCTTTGGGTAAATGCCATCTGATTTTGTAAATTCTTCTGCATTTGGTTTTTTTAGGTCAGGGTGGTATATTGGAGACTACAGGGTCTCCTGTTTAGAGTCCAGGTAGCAAAGCTGTAACACAAAGCAAGAAGGAAGGCAAAGGGATGCTCTCTGGGTGGAGCAGACCTGGGACTGGGTATAAGGGACAGAGAGGCTCAGGGTTGAGAAAAAGTCTCTTTCTCAAGTGAGGCGAGTCATGCACGGGCAGTGTGGCATTATTTTACAAATTACATATGACACTGTATCTTTTGCATCTATAAATATTTTATTATAAGAATAGAAGATGGTTCTTTGTGTTGAAAGGCTAAGATTCGGTTAAAAATTGAAAAAAAAAAGAATCAAGAAGAGATTTTGCAAGCTCGGCTGCCCTCTTGTGTTCAGATGAAAGAAGTACAGTTATTGTCTGTTTTCAACGTGATGGGCTCACAATTTCACTTCCTTCTCAACAGATATTTATGGTAAATAAGGCAAAATAGCACACCCCCGAATTTCATCCAAGTGGAACAGTATGTTCGTACATCATATTTTAAAGTGCTTCCAGATTTTTCCAAAATATCTCTGAAGAATGATCCAAAAGAATACTTAGCAAGTATGTTTAGTAAAACATTTCAAAATTCAAAATACATTTCAGAAACACTGTTGAATTTTTATACTTGAAGAAAGTTTTAAAGTTGTTTTTATTTTCATATCCTCCCTTTAAAGTTTTTATGGTTTTTGGTTTTTGTTGTTTGCAGTGCTGGGAGTGAGCCGAGCCTCGCGCTGAGATACATCCTCAGCTCTTTTTTATTTTCTATTTTTTTACAACAGGGTCTCACCAAGCCAGCCAGGCTGGCCTGGAACCTACAATCCTTCTGCCTCAGCCTCTCAAGTACTGGGGTCCGGTGTGCACAATCCCTCCTAATTCTGATGTTCAGTAGCGATCATTTCCTCACAGAATTAATGGAAGAAAAGCACCACTCAACTTCATCTTCTGGACTCCACACAACACTGCAGGCCTCGAATCCAAATATGAACTTTCTCTCTCTCTGCTCTGCTTCTGCAAAAGGCAGCTAGATTTTTGTGGGATTCCTTTCATCCTGCTTTTTGATTGTTTATCCCCTGAATTTTGCAGCCACTCTGCAGGCAGAGCCTTTGCCCCGTTATCTTTAATGGAGCACAGTTCCTGTGACATTTTGGGAACTCGTTTTTGTTGATTCATTAAATTCTTCAGTGAGGTGGGTTACGTTACTGTGTTTTAAAGCCAAAGAGAGTTTTCAAACACATTCTGCAGTTTGACAGAATGGTCAAAAGGGTTAGTCAAAACGGATAACAGAAAAATTCAAAGCTATCGTAGGGACTATTTTGTATTTGACAAACGATACAATACATCTAAAAGGTGCTCGTGTGGAACCTAACTGGTTTGTGTTGTGGGCACAAGTCAGGATTTCATTCGCATTCGCAGTGCTGCGGAGAATCGCGAGGCCCCGGCTGGGATCTTTTGCGGGTTCACCCGCCATTCTGGGGTCAGAGGGCAGAGGCAGTGCCGGACGCAGACCAGGCCGCCAGCGCTGCAGGCCCACAGCAGCCGTCCATACACTCGTATTTTCCTTCTGCGGATGGACGAGGCGGGGAAAACTGCAACTGAGCTGAATGTGAAGGTGCACCCACTCTTCTGCGTGGGCCTTCTCCGGGCAAGGGAGTGAACACGTAGCCCACGTCTGCTCTGCACCAGCAGCTGTATGGAACCCTGGGACGACTTAAGGACTGCTGGCTCTGTGCTCACGGAGCACTCCCGGCCCTGGGCCCGATTCCGGCATACACTTAGCACCTTTTAGCCTGGGGTCCCCACTGATTACAGTGCGCGTGTGCTTAATGTGTCCTCACAGGAGACACGAGAGCAAATACGGCGCACAGAGGGTCCCCGGCCACGGCCAGACCGGGCTCCTTCTTCCTCGCGCAGAAGCGAGTTCGGGTCTTCCCTGCACAGGAGTCATCGGCCCGGCCCAGAGGGGAGCCTGCCGGGTGCTCCGAAGGCGGAGTTCCAGTGTGGAGCACACAGGAGACCTTCTGCAGAAGGGTCCGGCTTTGCAGACTTGACGGCGCTCTGTCACAGGACCCAGACGCTGGATCTGGGGCCCCGTCTTGCCTGAGCTGCGGTTTTCTGCGCCACAGTTTTCAGAGGAGCAGACCCAGGTCACAGAGGGAGGTGGCCTTCGAAGAGCCCACGGGGGAAAAGCAGGCCAGGCAATTCTTTTGACAAAGTGGGAGACTGGACTCTGCATTCAAACTGAGGTCTTCAGCTCCCACCCCCGGCCCCGTTACTTATTTATTTTGAGTCGGGGTCTCACTAAATCACTAAGTTGCCCAGATTAGGCTCAAATTTGGAACCCTCCTGCCTTAGCCTCCAGGGTGCTAGGAGTACAGAAATCCGTGACCTCACTGGGCCAGGCACTTGTGCTCATGCCTTTGTTCCTAACAAAGCCCACCCCCGCGTTTCATCCCGCTGGACAGAACACACGAAGGGCGCTCACCGGCTAGTGTTCGTGCACAGCGGCTTTGAGAGCCTCGGCCGGGCCAAGGACGTGGCGTCTGCGCAAGGGTCGTCCAGGGCATCTGCGTCTGGGGCCGGCACGTGGCCTCTGTGGGGGCACAGGAAAGAGGGCGTCGGCTCCTTCAGAAGCTCGGAGGAAACTGGAGCCCCCAGTGGCAAGGGTCAGATGACGCTGGGGCAGGGACAGCGCAGCTCTTCGAGTGCTCACAGCGCACAGCGGGTGGGGAGCCCTTTGGGGGAGGGCGGGCTGCTCCTCTCAGATTCTCAGATCCGCCTGGTCCCAGGGTCAGGGGCCGAACTAAAGCGAGGCGGGAAGAGGAAGGCGCCAAGGGCAAACGCAGCCCTTCCCACCTCCCGGCCCCAGGGCTTCTCTGGCTGACGACGCCAGGAGCAGCACCAGCCTATTTCAGTTCATCAGATACTAGGGAAAGAGGAGAATACGACTCCTTTTTTATTTAATCAACGTCTTTTTGAAGCGTCTGGTGGAACTCCTGGCCTCAGAGGTGCACCTTGCCAGGAAAGCCTCTCCCCTGCTCTGACTCTGAGAACGGGTTATAAATGTGGTGCTGGAAGCAGCCGGCTCAGAAAGGCTTCCCCTGTCTGCAGCACTGGGAACCAATACTCACGTGTAGAGAGGGATGTATTTACTCCTTGAACTCGAACTCACGCTTAGAGAGAAAATATGGGCAACTGGGTTACTGAATAAATATTGTTAATAAATATCAGCTTCTTAAAATACTTATCTAAACAAAATTAAAAGTCTCCAGACATCTCACTGGCCTTAAAAATAGGTGATTTTAGAAACAATTTCAAGATACTTTTGGCTTTTTCAGAATATGATATAAATGGAAGCATACAGTGCATAACCTTTTGAGTCTGGCTGCTTTCACTGAAAATGTGTTTAAGATCTCTGCCTGCCATTGTTTGCTGGGTTTATTATTTTTCTCTGCTGAGTAGTACTCCACTTCAAGGGCATACTCTAATACGTTCATCTATTTTCCTGCTAAAGGGCATGCTGGTTATTTCTAGATTTGTGGATTACAAATACAGCTGTTATAAACATTTGTGTATACATTTTTATGTAGGCCCTTGGAAGTACATTTCCCAGGAGCAGAGTTAAGAATTCTGAGATACAGACAACTTAGCTTTCATTCACTAGTGATTTATCAGCAAAAATAAAACTGAAAATCCAGGGGGTCCATATAAATGCAATAATACTATTGTTTGGATCAGCGATGTATTCCTTTAGTACATGATATGAACTGAGCATTAATATAAAAAATTACAACTTTTAAAGAAAAGATTTCCAGGGAGCCTATCGACAATTCTTGCTTCCTGTATATATGAAGATCCTGAAGTTTTTACTGTTTCAGTCTTTCATATAAATTTTTATCACTGTTTATCTACTGAAGCCTCAAGTGGAATGTTTTACACACTTGACCACATGATATTATAAATAATCTTTTTATTTTCAGTACTGGAGATGGAACCCAGGGAGTCAAAAATCTTGCAAAGTATTTTTAAATATGTCTCTGTCTCATTGAGTGTATTTCACCCGACCATCTGTTTCAGGTTGTCTCTGTTTAGATCCTGTGGTTGGACTTGATTAGGGTTCTGTGCATTCACACCTCATGACCCCTTTTTCTTCTAAGGATAAAAAAAACTCTTTCAAGGTACTTTATGCTAGTTTTATCGAAATTATGAAATTGTCCAAGATTTGCAAAATATTACCCTTGCTATTATTTTTACAATTAAAATTATGGGAAAACCCATTAATTCTGTTAATGAAGGGCAAATATATCCTGTACTCTGCTTTGTGATCAGTCATGAATAAGTCAATTTAAAATCAAATGCGCATGCTTTGGCCTGAGTTAAAGCTAGGAGCTCTTTCCTTTGACAGCCTGCCTTTCCCTTCTGTTGTCTGTCTGTCTGTGTGTGTGTGTGTCTTGGTTGTTGTTTGTACCTGGCCACAGTATTTGTTGGTAGGTACAGAGTTCAGTCGTAAAATTCCATAAGATTCATACTTTCTGTTCTGTTTAACTTCCGTAAGGTGCTGGTTTGACTCAGCACTAGTGGGGAATAATCAGCAGACAGAGATGGGTTCTCACTCATTTTGAGAAGGTGGACCCCTAGCTCAAGTAAGCCATAGGCAGTTTACAGAGATGGACGTGGGAACAAAAACTAATCTCAGCACTCTGGGAGGCTGAGGCACGAGAACCAGCTTGAGCTCAGCTGGGCAACTTAGTGACATAGTGAGACACTATCTTAAAATTTTTTTAATATAAAAAGGGCTGAGAGTGTAATGCAAAATGTTACCTGAAGACCCTTGGTTCAATCCTCAGTAGAAAAAAAAAAAGAAAAAATTGATGGATTCAATTACCTTAAAATTCAGAGTTTCAGTTCAGCAGAGACAACTGAACATAGAAAATCCACAGACTAGAATGAGATATTTTGATGTACGTTTTGCAATGAAGGCTTTTATTCCAAATAGTAAGCATGAGCATTCTACAGTGAATAAAGAAGGAAATGCCAAGCTAAACGTGAAAGGTGCAGAACACATGGGCAGGGGAAGGTAGGGACATCCAAGACACGCCTGTGCCCCCCCCACAAGCAGTCGCTCGTAACCAGCTAGATGGAAGCTAAGATCACTCACAAGACTTGAGTTTCTTACAGGTGAGAATTCTGAACATGGTCCAGATGCCCAGTGATGGAATTAATGCACTGCTCTTGGGAGTGTCCATCAGGAAAACTTAGGGAGGGAAAAATATGGAAATAACCAGAAGGCAGAGCAGTACACACCCGCCTGACCCAGTAGTTATAGACATGGATTTCTATATACAATCCAGAAATATACACTTGATTATGTGAAGTGAACACTTTTCCAACTGCAGCATGAGTTTCATTATACAAATGTCCATCAAGAGGATGACTATTCAGCAGAGAAAAAGGGCCCCTAGAGACACAGATGTTAATATGTACAAGTTTGGGAAACATAATACTGGGCAACATGCTAATTGGCATAAATACACATCTTACACTGTGTGTACTGAGTTTAGAAACAAAGAAACCCTTAATGTAGGCTGGTTCACAGTGCTTTTTAAAGGACTAAAAGCATGCACGAAGATACAAAGCATCAAATCCAGAATAGCCATGTTCCCTGAGAAAGCACATGTGCTTGGGAAAGCTGTTGAGGGGGCTTCTGTTGTGTTGCTGACATTTTCTTTCTAAAGAGAGAAAGAAGCTACAAAGATTTTTTTTTTTTTTTTTTTTTTTTTTTTT